ACAATAAGTGTATGCATATGTTGGTATATTTATGAAAAAAACACAGGACAATATATTGCAAATGATACATACGATACCTATACTTATCAACATTTGTATTTAATATTATCTGAAAATAGTATATGCAGTGAGCTGTGTTACCTAAGGTGGAAAAATATATGGAGGCCCATTAATGAGTTTTACATATTCACAAGTCTCACTGAATACCCTCTGCCATCATGAAAATCCAGAAATTTCCTTATTTAAGAAGGAAAATCCACCAGAGGGTGCTGTAGACTATTGAATTACAGTTGTTTTTTCCAGTTATATAAGCTCAGAACAGACAAATACATTTACAAAATTGTGCAAGAGAAAAACATAATAATTGCTGTAGTATGGACTTACTATAGGGAGTGAGGCCCCCATTGTAGCTGCTCATTTGCCAGGTTCATATTCACATTGGTATAAAGATGCATTTTGCATTACTTCACATCCCCTCTAATGTTTAGTTATATTCTCTGTAAGCCTGTAGTAGGATGTACTAAAGGGGGATAAACATAACAACATAGTGGGGAATTAACAAAGCTTCCTTCTCTATTATAATGGAACTATCTGCTAAGTACGCCTATAGTAGGATGTGCTAAAGCAGGATGAACATAAGAACATATATCTCATTACAAACATGTTAGAACTGTCAAACATTCTTGGATATAACAGAGGATCCTTACTGAGATTTTACAGTGGGGTCCTGTAATTTTAGTTGCACCTATAGGGCTGTGTATTTCATTTTGTCAATTTAAAACTTGCCATACATGTATTTTTGAATAGAATAAACATTACTGATTATAGTATCAGGATTTTGCATTGGTCATGTAGATGTTTTCACTAATATAATTCATCCTATTCTCATTAGTATCTTATGTATTCTTCACAAGGATATAGTAATAGGTTTATCAAGCATTAAAATAGGCCTAACTGAAAGCTGCAGTAGTAGACCATTTGTTATACGGTATATGTGCAGTTGTCTCAGCCTGGAAAACCAGTGGGCATTTCCTCCAGTATGATGTTCTCTTATATTAGAGAATTCTCTCATATATGTATATGTCTCTGCTTTTCTTTTGGAACAGACCAACTATAGCACAACAGCTTATGTTCAGTCATTCTACACACGGCATCAATAAAGATGCTTTAATGTTTGTGTCATTGTTTGTAGAATCTATGCATTCTATCCTGAGGTTTGTCTTCTACTAGGTATACGCTAAATGTGTTATGCGATCTTGGAGAAGGTGAAAAGATTGATGACAGAACTATTATTATTAGAGAATTCTCTCATATATGTATATGTCTCTGCTTTTCTTTTGGAACAGACCAACTATAGCACAACAGCTTATGTTCAGTCATTCTACACACGGCATCAATAAAGATGCTTTAATGTTTGTGTCATTGTTTGTAGAATCTATGCATTCTATCCTGAGGTTTGTCTTCTACTAGGTATACGCTAAATGTGTTATGCGATCTTGGAGAAGGTGAAAAGATTGATGACAGAACTATTATCAATTGGGTGAATCAAACTCTCAAAGATGCTAACAAGGATACCTTAATCACCAGCTTCAAGGTAATAAATGCAACAAAGGCTATTTTATATTTGAATTGTATTGCTTAAAGGGAATGTCAAGTCTTTTTAATTTGTTTTAGTTAAACATTAACTAAATCATCTTGATTTAAATAATCTCAACAGTATATTTTATTAGGCTTGTGGTGATATACAGGTACACAGGTACACTGGAGCGGCCATATTTACTGCTGACATAGGTTCTGCTTGCTGCTTTGCAGTGCTACATAATAATTTTGCTCTGTTGCTGCTTAACACAGTGTGAGTTTTTAAGTACAATGATTTATATTTATTCCCTATGGGGCTATTACCTTATCTCACTGATTTTCTAAAGAGAGACGGGAAAATTGCAAGTGAGCCACTGAGAACTCCCTACAGTAACTAATTAATGAATCTCTTAATTTAAGACAATAGGAAAAATATGGAAGACCGAATTTGTAATTCACATGAAAGGTTTTTTTAAGCTAAACCATTCAGTAATAGTGCAAACTGTGCACTCACTGTAAATATATTATACATCCCTTCCTATAAATCTACTGTAATACTTTTAATGTTTGAAATGTACTTTATATACTAAGCCTTTTAGTAGTTTTTAGTACTTACCTATCTAAAGCTGGATCTAAAGCTGGCCATACACTATCCAGCTGGGACTGTGTGTTGACACCCACAGGTAACACATAGCAACCAGCAGAAGCAAAATGCTCAGGCATGGGCAAAGGCACACATATGCAAAGGTTCCAGCGGTGCAGGGAATCATGGGACACGTAGTCCCCATGCAGTAGATCATTTGAATGTTCCATGATGTGAGCAATGCACATTCCTTGGCCGGAGGTTTAGGGTAGCACTGCGGGGACACTGGGAGCTATAGGGATCAAACCGT